TTTGGCATGTTCGCCCTGGATTCTAGATGATCCTGTCCCAACACTGGTGCTAACGCATGTATGCACATCACTGCAGCCACCCGATCGCAGAGATGTGTTTCAGACCTAAGGGCTCTTTTAGGGGGTGGTGATAAATTCAGGTGGCTTAGCATCAGTTTTACTGCACCCCAAGAATGCTACCAATATAGCCGGACAGGGCTGTACACATACCACAGTCACAGCATTTTTAACTAGATGTGTATTTGATAGGCAGCACTGCCTGTCAAATTTACCTATTGAGTTCAATGGAACTGCACCATAACCGTGAAATGAAAGTTTGGCTCACAGTTGCAGCATGGTCCTGCAATGCAGTATTGCCATTTAGCAATTTAAAGTGATTGTAAAGGTTCTTTTATATTTTTAAAAAAATAACAAACATGTTATACTTACCTGCTCTGTGCAATGGTTTTGCACAGAGCAGCCCCGATCCTCCTCTTCTGGGGCCCCCCATTGGTGCTCCTAGCTTCCGAGTACAGCAAGCCACTTGCTAAGTGAGCATTCGTGCGGGCTTGGTCATGAGCCACACTGTGTGCATCTATTGACACATACAGTACAATTAGGACCCGTCCCCTGCTCCCTAGTCATTGTATTTGATTGACAGCGGCAGGAGCCATTGGCTCCCACTGCTCTCACTGGGTCCAGTCCAGTGAGGAGGGAAAGAGAGAGCAGTCCTGCTGCTCTTATTATTATTATACAGGATTCTTGGGTACAGAGCTGGCATTGCACAAAAACTAATAAAATCAATTGTTCTCTATGTTAACTGTTCACACCAACAGGCATAGAGAACAACTGTTTTTTAAATTTGAGTATTTTTGGAGCTTCGAGCTTCCAGCTAGCTGAAGTGTGAATGCAGCCTTAAGGTAAAAACCTTTACAACACTTTAAAAGTAAAATTTAATATATATAAGGGGCATTGGTTTGCAGCTTGAAAAATCACCATACAAAAGCTGGACAAAGCCATACCAATAATGTTAATGCTCTTCAAAGTTAAGAACTAATAAAATATATATATATATATATACCGTATTGCCGGCGTTCGACTTTTTACCTTGTTCTTCTCAAAAGTCGGGGGTCGTCTCACGGCATACCAACAATGGCACCATAGAGAACGATCAAGGAAGCTGTTTTTTCAACTGGATTTCGACCAGTATTGGCCGCCAGAACTGTAGGAAAGGCTTCGAGCGGCTTCGAGTGCAGGACTAGCAAATTGTGGTCTGAAGTGCTGCTGCAACCACATATGCTGGCTGCATGCAGCACCATACGAGAACAGGGTTAGCAAGTGTAAAATAGTGCCTTTGGTGTCACAACCACTTTAAAAGTGGGGCAAATTCCTCCCACTAACACCAACGATACTAAAACCAACGATCCTATTGCCCCCCCATAAATATATTCCTCCCCCCCCATGACACCAATGATGGGGCAAGAAATTTGGATTCCTCCTGCACATGTTGGGAAAACTTGACACCAATTGTTGAAAAACCAATCACCATTCCCCTCACTGATAAAGATGTGATGGGGAACCAAAAAAATGGACAAAATGATGGGGCCATACATCATGATGTGGCACTTTCAATATACCAATGATGGGGCACTGTTCCTGCCACTTACCAATAATGGGGCCTATTCTTGATACCAATGATTAACTATTCCTGTGGTAAGAAGGGGTAGTCATATATAGCTCAAACACTAAATTTTAGCAGGAAAAGTATCGTCTATAATATAAATATATATATATATATTTTTTTTTTTTTTTTTTTGTGCAATTATAGAACTTAATTTATAATTCTTAAATGAATAAATTTCATCAACTAGATATCAAGAAGCTGAATTTTTTTTTCCCCTAGTAATGTATTTTGTTTGGCAAACAATACCCGTGAACATTAAGTATTCTCTTGGACGTCTTTGTTGTAAGGAGGAAATACAGATCAGGAACTAATTAAGCACTGAGAAGCTTATCTGGGTTAGTTCTGAAAAGTAAACAGCGGAAGAACAATGTGTGCTCATTCGATAGAATCGTGTCATAAACCTGGTGTTGTTATAACCTTTTTCTTCACCTGGAAATATGAAGGAAGTATTTGCTGTAAAAACAAACATGACAATATGACAGATCACGGAAAAATGAAAAGCTCTTATGTGGGAGGATTATCTGATGGTTTAAATCAGTATTAAACCCTTTGGGTCCTTTTACATGGATGTTCTGTATGTCCATTTTTCATCTGTCAGATTACTGATGGAAAATGGACCCCCATGTATTTCTATGAACTAGTGGATGTAAACGGATGATCTGTTTACATCCATTAAAGTCTGCATCCGTTAACATCCGTTTTTTTTGAATGGATGAAAACCCTATTTTTTTCCGTACAAAAAAAATGGAACGGATGAAAAACGGATGCAAACGGACATATGGTCCATTTTTGCATCTGTTCTTGCATCGGTAAAGGATGTAAAAAACTGATGGAAAAACTGATGAAAAACTGATGTAAACTGATTCATTTTTTCTTTGTGTAGCACACCCTTGAGTGATGCTTGGCTAGATATATAGGTTCAACTCCCTCCTGAATCTGGTGACACCTCCGATTATACCCAGAACACTTCGACACTCTGAGAATATGTTTTATAGGTTTTATTGAAGAAGACAAACCCTGAAAAAGAACTAGCTGATTTAACACACGTAATGTATATAAAACACAGATACCACTTTGCATAACAGTTAGTAAGAAGTCACAATTCACTCGCCAAAGACTCCAAAAACGGACTAGTATCACACTGACTAGAGTGACATATGAGAGTGACATTGACCCATGAAACAATAACTGTTAATGAGGTTTAGCAGCTTATTGACATTTGCTATAGCAGTACTATCTAAAGCAGAAATGTCCTACCTAACCACTGGCCAGTGGGATAAAACTTAAAGTCTCTCAATGTTGGGGCCCTTTAATCAATGGAAGAGTGCTCACTTTCTGCATGGTAGAGTATTTGTAATCCAGGGGTAGCAGGATAGCACAGTCTCCTTTAAGCAGAATCTTCCAGTGAACGTTGCAATAGAAGAAAAACAACACTTCAACAAATCTTTACCATACAGGTGAAATCCTGACGCACTGACACTTGCTCAGTATATTTAGAGCAGCAAGCTTCTGTGGGGATTTGGAACTAAACACACTCTTCAGCCACAGCACAAGTCTTGAAGAACAAACCAGTAATATACAGTGACAGAGTTCTCTCATCAATCAGCAGCAGGAATAGCTAATTCTGAGCAGCTTGGGCTTTTCAAGATCTGTGTCACTCTGAGAATTAGAGAGCAGGCTTTCTCATGACCATTCTCCAGAGATGAATAGCAAATGCAGCAATATCAAAATCCCCTTTCATCACAGAGTACTCACTGTTTCTGTATTGTCCTCAAATAGCATTAGACAGTAGTAGAAATCCTCTCTCTTACAGCAGCTCCAAACTCTGAGAGACACATGCACAGTGGCTGTAATCCTGAATGTCAGGCAGGACAATCCTTGGTTTGCACACTGTCTTCCTGCAACAATTTCTCTGCTGCACACTCTCAGCCCATCCCATGGGCTCTAGCAGCACAGAGAGTGAGACTCTGTGACCTTACACCAGGAGCCCTTGCTCCATATGGTCCCCCGAAAATGTCTCCTGCCCCACATGTGCTTCTTCTTCCTTTTTCCTCTCTCCTTTCCTCCACAGCCAATCATAAGTTCAGCTGCAACAGTGCTGCTATGGGTGGATCCTTCTCAGCTGTAGCAACAACCAATCAGAGCACAGTCCTGCTTTCCCTGTCTGTCACTCACAAAGAGGAAAAAGAAACAAAATGCTTTGCAACTGCTGTTTGAGATTTAAAGCAACCAGCACATCTCTACATTTGAAAAAACATGACTGCACTGATGACAAAAAAACGGAAACGGCCGTGTGCAAGGACCCAAAAACAAACATTTATTATATTGCAGCTTACCAGTTCTTAAATGTGATGGCTGCATTGGTTTTATTTTTTATTTTCACCTGGTGATATGGCCAGTGAGTCTCTTGCTTTTCATAAGAACAAGCCGTTTTGCAGATGTAGCAGTTAGAAGGCTGAGACAAACCATTCACTACTGACAATGTTTACAATGGTGAGCTTTAGTGAACAAAATAACCAATAAAGGTATAGCATTCAAAACTTAATAAAACGAATCTCCAATATTCTACACATAAATGGCTATATACTCACAGTGACATATAGGGTAAATATAGTGAAGATCAAATTTTGTTAAATAAACTCATATTCATTCTTTAACCACTTCCAAGTTCGGACACTTTCACCCCCTTCCTGTCCAGGCCAATTTTCATCTTTTAGTGCTATCACAATTTGAATGACAATTGCGCAGTCATGCTACACTGTACCCATATGAATTATTTTGCATTTTTTTTGAGACAGATAAAAACTTTATTTTGGTGCCATTTATTCACCACTGGGATTTTTTTTTTTTGCTACATAAATGAAAAAGTCCAAACATTTTGAAAAAAAGTGTTTTTCTTATAAAATTTTGCAAATAAATAATCTTTCTTCATAAATCTTGCCCAAAATTTATTCTTTATCTTTTTAGTAAAAAGTTTATACCAAAAACTATAATTTTTAAAAAAAAGTTTTACATGTTTATATTATTAATTTTTTTTTAACATACTGTCACCCTAGCAGTACAGTGTCACCATAGTGAGAGACACCATAGTGACACTGTACTACTTGTGGGGGGTGATGACGTTTTTTTTTTTTTTTCATAGCCCATAAAGGCTGTAAAAACAATCATTTCTCCTTCTCTCTGACTGCATTCATGCAGCCATTGAGAAATACTGTGAGAGCTGTGATTGGTCACAGCTTGTCACATGGTACAAGGCTGTTGTGAATAGCCTTGTACCATGTGACCTCATGTGACCTCTGTGATCATACACAGATTTCACAAGTAGTAAGCAATGATGTCAGGAAGCGACATCTTGCTTACTACTATTCATGTGATCACTGATTGGCCAGTCAGTGATCACATGATCGGGACCTCACACCGAGATCACGTACAGCCATCGGTGTTCCGCTGTGTCTAGAGGACACAGTGGGCACCAGATCGCGGTGCTGCACGCTCCCAGGGAGCGCGCACAGGCTGTAAATGCTGGCAACGTTTATGAACGGCAACCCACTCCTGCACTGCTCCTGTCTGGCCGTTTATATAAATGGGCCAGACAGGAAGTGGTTAAACTTTACCTTGGTTTATCCTACTCTGTGTGTGAGTCCATCTGGGTCTTCAAAGTAAGTTGGTGTCAGCAGAGAGTGAGCTTCCAGTGGGGGTCCAGATTGTCAGGAAACTTATTATTTAAGCAGCCCTCGAGGGGGTAGTGCTACACCTATAAATCAGGTATGTGCTAGGTTCCTTTCACACAGGCGGCCAGGGTGGGAAACAGGCTTCTGGATTCGGGGAAAGCCCTGTAACACATCTGTACACATGTGCGGTGTTTCCGCACATGCAGATGCGCTCAGTGTTGGGACTTCCATACCAGATCCGTCCTTACGCATGAGCAGTCCGTCCCCCCCACACCGCACATGTACAGCCTTTCCACAAAGCTCTGCCGGGACCTAAAGCCCAATGGCACATGGTAGTGCACAATTGTAAAATGTCTCGTACACTGTAGCAGTAAAGTATAGGTCAAGCCAAAATCTTTTTATTAATTTAGGACAAAGTTGGGAAGGAATATAAGTTTTACTGCTATATGAAGCTTCATTAGAAAGATTTACTCTCCCTTTCTGTCTGGCAGAAAACAATATCACCAGACAAGAAGAAGGAGACAAAATCTGCAGTGAGATGAAAAAAAAAAAAAAATTGAAGAATATATTTAAAAAATGCCCATGCACTTTTGGTCAAATAGTGTATTTTATGTTTTTTTGCATTGAACTTTTAGGAGCTGTCTTATACCTCCTGCCCAGCCTATAGACTAATGGCGGCCGAGCAGGAACTTCCTTATCTCCTTGCATGCGTCCTAGAGGCCGAAATGCAGCTCAATCTGTCACATGCTGTTTCCAGCAGACACAGCGGAAGACTAATCCCTGTACTGGGCTGGCCCAAGTACCATGTGATCGCTGTGACCAATCACAGCTATTAAATGACAGTTCTACAAAATCAATGGCTTTCATTCATAGCCATTAATTGTGTACTATTGTGATGATTTCTGTGATTGGTCAGAGTGATCACATGTTACAGACAGGGAAAATCACAGCACATCTGTACCATGTGATAACTGTGGCCAACCACAGCTATCACAATACTACACAATGCCATTCAATAAAATGATTGCCTATAACAGTTATCATCATGGTTATAAGCAATCATAGTGTAAAAAAAAAATTCTGACCACCTCCCCAGAGAACTATGGTAACATTGCACTGCTCTGGTCACAGTACTGTATGCAAAAAAAAAATAAAAAAAAGGTTAACAAACTTGAAAAAAAAAAAAATTGTATCATGATATATATTTTTTTTCACATACTGTCATGATGACGCTGTACTGCTCTGGTGACAGTATGTAAAAAAAAAAAACAATTATTTATTTAAATTTATTTTTAAAAAAATGACAAAAATTTTAACTGTAAAAAACTTACGATGACGCTCATTAATACCTCATTTTAGGGCCTCAAGAAATGAGTCAGTGCACAAGGATTGATCAATTTTCAAATATATATACAACATAGTTTGTACACTCTAATTTTCACACAGACTAAATAATATACAATAGTTTGAGTTATTATTTACCAAAGAAATTTAGTCAAATACATTTGGTCTAAAGTTACAAAAAAATGATTTGTAACAATATATAACAGAAACTAAGAAAATGTGTTTTTGTCTTTTTTTTTTTGCTGGTTTGTTTATTTTCAGTGGTGATTAAATACTGCCAAAAGAAAGCTCTATTTGTCTAAAAAGAAAAAAAAATGGTAAAAAAAAAATGTTTTTTTGGTACAGTGTTGCATGATTAATTGTCATTCAAAGTGTGACAGCACTGAAAGCTGAAAATTGGCCTGGGCAGGTAAGGGGGTGAAAGTGTTCAGCTTTGGAGTGGTTAAAAAAAACTATATTTTATTAGCAGATTAGATTAGGCATACATCTAATACATACATTGAGGCTAATATACTAAAGGAGTCACGTGAAAAACAGCTGCACATGATTGGGTATTTAAAGTGAACATGAATTTGTTTTTCAAATGATTTGATAATTGAAATGAATATTCATGCAATTTATTGTGTTCATGTGTAGATTTTCAACTGCTCACCTAAATATAGCCGTATCGCAACCGCCCCCTTTACCCACATACAATGCATGCAGTTGCAGTACAATGGTTTTTAGTTATAACAGGAAGTGAGAAGGCAACACAATATTTCCACACCACCTATCAACATCCTCTGAAGAGCAATCCACCGTGGAGTCATTTACCAAAGCTTATACTGATAATACCTGTTGCTTCCACTTCATGTGAGAGGGAGAAATTCAAAATTATGCTTTTTTTTTTTAATAAAGCCGATCACTCTGTTTTTTTCAAACATCAGAGAATGCGTAATTTATTGTCTCCATCAAATATATTGTAGTAGTCCATTATTATAGTAATTCTGTCTGTCCTACGTTATTATTTTAGTTATTCTCATTAGTGTAACAATATAATAGCCACTCTGCAAATGCATCCAGGATTTGTTGGTTATTTGCTGTTATTAGGCCACAGGTGACTTCATTATAAGCAGATTATATTACTTCAGCTGAAACTATGATCAAAGCAGTGTGTCCTAGGGTGGTAGGGGCTCTTTAAGCCCTGGTTCAGATCTGTGTGATCGTGGGGCCGTGATTTGCGTGGGCACAAGAGCCCATTCATTTGAATGGACTCCCGTGCCCTGGGACCCTGCACTACTTTGGAAATCGCAGTCCGCACGGTAACTGAGGTTCCCATTATGGTTGCAATTTCCAGTGCGTGCAGCGTGCCATTAGAACTAATGGCACCCGCCTGCGGGTCCCTCATTCCTCTGTGTGGGTGGTGCGGCTGCAGGTATTTGTGCAGGTCCAGCAGTGCACCACCCGCACAGATGTGAACCAGGGGTAAAGAATTGTTTACATTTGAGGCAGCCCATAGCCCCCTCTGAAAATGGCATCTCAGAGGGTATCTGACAGCCTATGGGGAGGCATTATGTCTCGTCCTCACGGCCTGTTTTACCATAAAGCCAATACCAACGCGCCATAACCTGCATTGCATGTGGTTGCAGCGCGTAGCCCCAATCACTTGATTGGGTCATGTTTGGTCTTCATTTCATTCTTTGTCTTTTTGCTACAGAAGTATATTTTTGTGAAAGATGCATTGCTATATTGCTTGTTTTTTAGGTGTGTTTTACAATGATACAGTATATGGGCTTTATGTATTAGGCTAGGTTCACACATGAGCAATGTCCCTCCAAAATGCTCAAAAAGCCAAATACCATTCATGGCAATGGCCCCTGCTCATATCTGAGCATTCTGTTGCCTGTCACAAAGCACCTGGCACTCAAAAAAGTACATGAGCGTCTTTTGGGCAGATTTCAGGCATTTTTGGCCACATAGACTTCAATGGAAACACCTGAAAATGTGCAACATGAGTGTTTTACTAGCCTTTAGTTACGCGTTTTCTGCTCAAACAGCAGCTCTGCACCCCTAATCTCCACCATTCCTCTCCCTAATGTTTTCTATTGGCTAAGAAAAAAAACCCTGACACTGTAATATGCTTCTAATACACTCTAAAAGGCTTGTAATATACTTCTAAAAAACACTCAAATACTCTCAAATAAAAATGCCTGAAAATCCCTCTGCTCAGGTTTGAAGGCAGTCTTTTAGTCAAGGCTAGAGCATGAGTGTTGTATTTGTTTTTATGTGCTCTTTAATCATTTTAGTATTCTTTAGTCATGTCTTGTGCATGTTTCTTTTGTGTAATATTTATAAAGAAATAAAAATTATAAACAAGAACCACCCACCAAACACCACAAGGGTATAACATTTGCTGCAAAGCATTGCACCCGTGGCATGTGCAAAACGCACGCCTCCTGCTGTGTTGGAGTAAGGAGGGTGGTAATTGTAAATGCTATTTTTTTCTAAAATAACAAATAGTATACTTACCTGCTCTGTGCAATAGTATTGCACAGCACGGCCTGAACCTCATCGTCTGGGGTACCCTGCCAGCACTCTTGGCTCCTCCTCTTCTGTGTATGCCACCATAGCAAGACACTTGCTATGGTGGCACACCTGCAGGCTCGCTCCCGAGCCAGGTTGTGTGCATGCATAGACACACACAGCATGGCTAGGCCCCACCCCTGCTCCCTCCTTAAAGGATTTGATTGACAGGAATAGGAGCCAATGGCTCTCTCTGTGTCCTGTGAGGAGAGGAACAGAAACCAGCGCTGTTGCAGACAGACAGATGAAATAAAATCCCTGGGTGTCCTCCAGGGATGTTCTTTCATTGAATTTAGCCTTTTTAATGTTTAACGTTAACCACTTGCCCTCCATAGAATTTACCCCCCTTCTTGACCAAGCCATTTTTTTGCATTATGGCACTGTTACTTTAACTGGCAATTGCGCGGTCATGCAACACTGCACCCAAATTGAATGTACGTCCTTTTTTCTCGCGAATTGAGTTTTCTTTTGGTGGTGTTTGATTGCCTGTGCGATTTTTATTTTTTGCGCTATAAAAAAAATTTAAAAAAGACAAACAATTTTGAGAAAAAAGCAATATTTTTGTCATTTTGCTATTAAACTTGTCAAGTAAAAAAAAAAATTTAAATTAAATTTCGTCATAAATTTAGGCCAAAATGTATTCTGCTACATGTCTTTTTAAAAAATTTTTTTGCTAGTTACAGCGGTGATCAGCGACTTATAGCGGGACTACGTGGGCATTCTGACACCGTGGGGGGAACTGACTTGGTGTCACTGACATCTCTAGTGACACCAATACAGTGATCAGTGCTACTAAAAAGCACTGACACTGTACTAATGGCACTGGGCAGGAAGGGGTTAACATGTGGGGCAATCAGACGGTTAACTGTGTGCTGTTTTACTATGTGTGCTGTGTGTTTTTGTGCTTCACTGTTATCGCACTGCTTTGCATGGCTGTGCTGTGCACAGCTGCAAAGCAGTGTGCACGAGTGGACAGGGAGGAGAACTGTTTTGTTTACTAACAGTTCTGCCCCCTGTTGGAGATGCTTGGCAATCACTGGGTGCTGGCCAGTAATCACCAGCTGGGACCCAGTAATTGACAGCCGCGAATGGCGCCACGGGTAGGGCGCACCACCCCCTACCTGGAAATGCAAAATCACGTATATATACACACAAGATTTTGCACACCCATGTCACCCTGTAGCAGTACATCTGCTATAAGGCGGATGGGAAGCAGTTAAAGTTGTTCTAAAGGCTAAATATTTTTTACCTTTATGCTTTCCCTGCATTAAAAAAGGTAAAAAATGTTCTAGTATCTGTATTGCTCACTCAACCCCCTACAGTATACGAGGTGGTATCAAAATGTTTTGTGACTACATTTAAACATCTATGTTTACACACTATCACCTTCAAAAAAGTCCCCTTGCACAGCAATACAGTGCTCCCAGCGTTCCTGCCAACTCTGGAAGTCTTCTTTTTGAAGCGGGTCAAGCACCTTTTGCTATTCACGCTGGATCTCTGCAATGTTGTCAAAATAGCGACCGTTAAGCTGAATCTTCATCGTCGGAAAGAGGGCAAAGTCCACAAGAGCCAAATCTGTCAAGTAGGGTGGGTGCAGAAGATCATTGCAGCCAAGGGATGAACTTGGCAGCAACATGACGCATGTTCAAATCACATGTGAGGATTGCCTGGACTGTTTCATATGACACACCAACAATGACAATAATGCTGTGGATTGTATAAGTTGCCAAATGGTTTCAACATTTTCAGGGGTTGAGTTTGTTGAAGGTCTTCCTGATCTCTTGTCTTCCAGTGATGTTCTTATACTCTTGAAGCACACGTGCCACTCAAAACACATCGAATTACCCATTGCAGCATCACTGTAAACTTGCCAAATCATGTCAAATGTGGCAGATTTGCCCAGTTTCACACAGAATTTCATGTGTGCTCTTTGTTCTAATTTGCTCCATACCAAACCCAAAAGGTCTAGTATAGACTTTGAGGAAACTCATGCTTTTGAGTTTTTTTTCCATGGGGACCCCTTAAAATACATACTAGAACTGAAGGTCCATTTTTAAAACTATCCCAGCACCTTTGCTTCTACGGTTGGGGGTTACCAACCATATAAGTGAATAGGGCCGGTGACGTCACTGATTAAGGACTTGACAGTGCCTGCCTTCCATAATGATGTTCCCTCCCACTGGATGGGTAAATGTTTTGAACAAATCATAAGCTCATCCCCTTTAGTGACTGTTCTGGAGTATTGTGACAGACTGCTTGTCACCCCAATGTCCTTGCTGCTGGGACACAGGACCAAGGTATTATAGCTGAGCATTGAACTCAAGACTAGGCAACACTAGCTTAAGTGCAAAAACTGAAACTACTTTATTGAACAGAAATACGGGTTTTTATACACTTCAGAAATATGGGCAGCCCCCACATGAACAATAAAAACATATATTACACATTGAGATACATATCCCACACTGATTAGGTAAGAGCTTGATCACATTATCCTAAAACAGTGCAAACAGTAATCAGTACAGCCAACAGCTTACAGTGTTCTAATTAACAGTAAGCTAATCAACAGCCAAGCACCCAGACAAGTCAGGGAGCCCACCCCAGACAGTCCAGCACCACCAACCCTGAGCACACAAAGTACATTGCACAAGCTGTCTTTCAGGTGTTTGCTTTCACTTGTACAACCTGTCCATCATGAGACAAAACTCATACAATATTCCAGCAGTCTGAAAAAGTGGAATTCATTTATCTTCATAGATTTCTTGAAGGAAACTGTTGCTAAATATTTGTGTCCCAAGTGGAGGAGGTTCTCCAAACCAGTCTGCAGGAGGGCCCCATATTTCCTCTGACCATTAACCTGTATAAGATTAATATTACACCTTTCTGTCCACTCCAGAAGGGAATCTTTAATGTCTTTACTCAGAGAATTAATCTAAGGCCTCGCTCTCAGTGTTCATCACATTATTATTTATCATCACAGACTGATCCGCTCTCTCCATGTGACCAGAGGCTGAACTGGGCTCTTTTCCATGCTGTGACCAGGAGAAGCAGAGAAAATCCCTGGTCTCCTAAATGGGCCATAATCAGTGGGTAGAAGGCTAGCCCCTAGTCCTCTCCAAAAGCCCCTGCCCCAGCTGGGTCTATCACAGTATTTTCTTCCAATATTTGGGATGCTCACATTTAAAAGTTTAAAATGGTGTATGGGTTTACTTTAACTATATTCAGGTGCAGTGTTATAATATCCTGCTTGGTGAATGGATAGAAAACACACAGCAAAGGTAATGTAAAGAGGCATACTCCTTTATGAAGGACCATTGATCTGTTAGAATATTACTGATAGTCAGGGGCGGACTGACCATTTGGAAACTCGGGCAGGGCCTGGGATCAGTAGGGGGCCCCATGACCCTGGTACCTTTTTCATAGGCTTTTTTGAGTTTGGGAAAGGACACAGGGGCCCCATGATCCCCTATTGCCCGGGGGCCCCATGAGTTGTCAGTCCGCCCCTGCTGATAGTAGAATTGTTTTGGACAATTACCAACCATCATTGATTTCACATGCACAGTTGTGGTACAACGATAAAACCTAAAAGCTTTATATGAGAAACACTGTATTTAACTGGTCCTACAAATACCAACTTCAGTTCAATACAAGAGGGCTAGGAGGGCCCTGTTCCTGGAAGCTTACAATCTAATAGGGAAGGGCTAGAATGAAACAAAAGGTAATAACTGAGGGGGATAAACTGATGGGACAAATAAAATATGTATTTGTTAGATGAAGGCAGAATAGGCTTCCATGAAGAGATGAGTTTCCAGGGAGCACCTAAAAGTGGACAGAATAGCAGATAACCAGATTGTGGTAGGGAGTTCCAGAGGATGGGAGAGGCTCTGTAGATGAGAATAGGAAGAGGAGACAAGAGCGCTAGAGAGCAGGAGGTCTTGGAAGGAGCGGAGAGGACGGTTTTGGGTGTTATTTAGAGACAAGATTGGTGATGTAGCTTTGCAGTTGTAAATGGCCTTGTATGTTGTTAATGTTTTGAATTGTATTCATTGGGCAATGAGCTCAAAAGGTATTCAAAGAAAGGATTTTTTATTATTCTTGGTCCTCACATCCTCCACCTCCAAAACATATTTCGGCAGTTCACCATGAGATCTTTGTGCACTGAACCGAGATGCTACAGCCCAGGGTATTCTATTCCTAAATAATAGGTAATGTAAATTAGTACATTTGTTCACCAAGGGCAGAAATTCATAATTGGCGCTTAGGCATCATTCACACAGGTGCAGGCAGTCCCATTGATGTCTTTTGGGACACAGTGGCTGCATCCTGCTGTATCACAATATGGCATTGGTGTGGGTGTGGGTGCATGCAGGTGCAGACAGTGTGAGTTCGGGGACATGCACCCTCACCCACATGGATGTCATATTGGGACACAGCATTTGTGTCCATGTAGGCGTTGTGTCCCAATAGACATCTATACATCCCTTACACAGGGCATGCATACATGTGCCCCATATGAATGAAGTCTTAAAAGAAGAAATGAAGACAAACAGCTAAATTAAAGTGTTACTAAACCCACAACAGTAAAATCAGTCTGTATATGCAGTAAAGCATGCTTGTTATTCTCACTGTGGAACCTAAGGGGTTAAATCTCTGCATTGTGTAAAAAAAGGCTGTTTGATCCTTTCTTGTCTGTGCCTCCCCTTTTTCAAGCGACCACGACTTGTCTCCATACTGAACCATAGGCCTGCACATGCTCAGTCTGGTGTGTATTGCTAGAGAGGTTTTCTTTTTTTCTTGGGAGAGTGGTCCTGTCCTGATCACATGCAATCAGCACTGTCCAGACAGAGGTCAGGGGATTTGTATCCTCCTAGAGCAGAAACAAAACTCCTCCTACAAACTTTAGCGAATGCTGGGCTAGACACAGATAGAAGTCACAAGACTGCTGTAACGTCTGATGAGAAAAGGTATTTAGCAGTTTATATATTTACTAAAATAATTGCATTTCCACGTTGTGTGTACTGCAGAAGACCAGATATAGTGAATGCAGGGTCCTGGGTTTAGTAACACTTTAAGAGCTGAAATGCAGTACATAAATATGAATGTTCATACTTGCCAAAAACGTTTTTAACTTGTTTAGCCATTTTTTAATCTAGTGACCCTGATGGAAAGCATAACTATGTTCTGATCATACTTTTCTCAACTGCAGTTAAAGCAAGACAGTTTGGTCAAGGTCCATCCCATCCTGTGACTGAAGAGTGAAGGAGCAGTAACTCACCGATGAAGTCAACTGTATATTCTTCCCTCCTATTCATTGGCTTCCAGTGTAATGTGCAATGAAGAAAATATTGGTTATGTATAAAACTAAAAGAAACCGACATTAAGTAAAGATTGAGGTATGATTTCAGAATACACACAAAGATATTTCTAGTAAATATATAAACAGGGTTAATGGGAGCACTTTACGAAGGGTGACAATTTAATTCCCGGAATGGACTGTAAAAAAAAAAATGCTTACTTTACCTATACACTAGCAGCTGTTGTCACCTTTAAAGTAGTCCCCTTGTGAAGTGACACACTTTTCTATACAAATGTGCCACTTTCAGAAACATTCCTGGAATTTTCTGGAACGCAAAGCAGTATCTTTGTCGTGACGAGCTGGATGTCCGTAATGTCATCAAATTTGTATCCTTTTAAGGCATTTTTCATTTTAGAAACAGCCAAAAGTTGAAGGGTGCTAAGTCAGGGGAAAAAAGTGGTTGGCCAAATTTTGGAATGGATTTCTGAGCCAGGAATTCATGAACACGTAATGCATCATGTGCAGGAGTAATGTCGTGGTGGGGAAGCGATTTGTCAGGCCAGAGTTCTGGCCTTTCCTTCTGAACACATTCCCATAACTTCTGTCCACATGAGCATTCATCCTTTGCGTTTTTAGCTGCCCACTCCTTGCGTCATCATGGACATCTTTGCGCCCCTCCTTAAACTGCTTCTCACTCACACTTTTGCCAAATTTTCGTACAAAATTTGATGTTTATCAGCTGCTCCAGATTCACCATTTTCTGGCAACAGCGCAACGTACACGTGTGTTATTTATTCTACTACTTCATAAAGACTGAGTCAACTGGTCTACAACCCAGGC